GAAAAGACCTTAAATTGTATCTATAGCAAGATCCAAAGGCTGAAAGGAAATACAACCAGTGGTAACTGTGGGGATCTCTGGGTGATGGAAATATAGATGATTTTTACTTTTTTCTTTTCTTTTTTAAAAAAATATATTTTTATTGATTTCAGAGAGGAAGGGAAAGGGAAAGAGAGATAGAAACATCAATGATGAGAGAGGATCATTGATTGGCTGCTTCCTGCACGCCCCCTACTGGGGATCGAGCCCACAACCCAGGCATGTACCCTTGACCGGAATCAAACCTGGGACCCTTCAGTCCGCAGGCTGATGCTCTATCCACTGAGCCAAACCAGCTAGGGCTCTTCCATTTTTCTTGTGTTTCATCAGTCCAGGTAAAAACACTATGTTAAAGTAATTTAATCTCTATTAAATGAAAACTATCAATATCAATTTAAAACAATGTCAGTCTAAAAATGCATGTATTTACATCTACGTAAGTTAAATAATTATAGCAAACGTATGCTGACTACTCTATAATTTTTTTTTCCATTAAACAAATATGTGTTGACTGTCCCCACTGTTGCCAGGTCTTGTTTAGGTCCTAGGGGACAGCTATACTCCAGTGAACAAGAGAGAACAAACTTGGCTTGCCTGCCAGTGGCAGTGGGGGAGGAGCCGTGGGTAAAGGAGAGTTTCTATTCATGCTCTTTTCTGTGAAGAAATGCTCACTGTTTCTGTCCAATAGGTGACCTGACCCTTGACGTAGACTTTCTCTGAAGTGCGCATGCCTAAAGAATTAAACTAACCATGCTGGCATTGTTGCTTATGTGGCATAACACATCACTGATACCTTGATTTTAGGGACGAGGGCACCAATGAAAGTTCTATGCTCAGAATTCTGGGTGATGCCCGTAACTGAAGGGATATAAACAATGGGCTTAAACTGGTGGATCTTATTTTCAGATTCCAGTAATGAAGCGGAATTACAAATAGTGAAATTCTGCAACCGGTTGGGAGGGACAGATTGCTGCTGAGCTATTTCCAGGACAGCCAGGCCCATATATGTGTGTGGCACCACTATTCTGGAAGGTCACCCAGGAGATTCCCAGCCACTTACATTCACTGATGAGTTCCAAGGAGGGCAGGAAGTACTCGTCACAGACAATAGACAGGGCCAGGAACATGTAGAGGATAATTAGGAAGTAGATTACGATGCCTCCATCTGCGCGCTCCTGTTTTGTGAAAAACCCTTCAGGAAACTCCGATGATGGAGAAATAACACATTGGGTGCTATTTCCTGGTGAGGAAAAGGAGGTGAAAGTTTGAAGGATGTTGAAATCACACATTCCAAGCTCACAAAAGGGAAATTGCTTAAGAAATCTGTAAAGTGTGGGGTTTCTGGGTGGAATTTTAGGAACCCTGGTGACAATGTACATAGCCCTTTTGAATATGATGTAGTTGTAGATCCGGAAAAAAAAAAAAAAGTCTTTGAGACCCGAAAGAGAGGCTTTAATGAAATAAGCTGATGATAGTGGAAGAATTAAAAAGAGGAAATCATGAAGTCACTCCTCCTCGTCTGCTTCATTTCTAAAAGCGAATTCCAAACCCCTCTTCCTCCTCAAGTAGAAACTATAATCTCTGATTAGTAAGATTTCTAATATCTGAACAATTTCATTTTCCAGTTGCAGAACCCAAGTTGTCCCCAGGCCCGCGAACAGTCACCCACTGTCTGCAGAGTGAGTTTCTGGGATGAAAGATTTTTTCACGATGAACTCTCCAACAATAAAAACTGAGGCTGTCCTGCTTCATGGTGTCTGTGAATTATTTCGGTGCTATCTTTGAGGTTTATTTGAGGGATCAAAAGAGTTTCATATTCTTCCAAATGCTAAAATTCAGAGCAAGCACAGGAGGAAGCATAAGCAAAGGGGGTCAAGGGAGAATGTCCCTTTGTCATTTATAGGCAGCAGCAGCAGCAGGGGTAGCTGACCCCTGCACCCACCTACCTGTGGCCCGTGGGAGACGCTGGGGCAGGGAGGCCCCCGGGGGAGGCAGGCGTGCAGCAGCCCAGAGGATGCTGAGGAGCAGGGCCCTTCTTGTCCAGCGTGGACCCCCTTCTGTCTGCATGTCTGCTGCGCTCTTACTGCAGTGTGCAGCTTGAGGAGGAGAGGAAAGGAGGGCTAAGCTGGATCATGTGAGGAGTCTCCTTCCTGCCCAATGCCCTGCCCAAGGCACATTTCAGCAAAGCCAGTGCGGGAGGGAGGGTGATTGGGGCCAGCCAAGCTTCTCTGATCAGGAGTCCCAAGCCCCAGGGAGGCTGGAGGAGGTAGGGAGGAGAGCAGGCAATCCTGTCTACATCTGCCCTGGGCCCACAGTCCCTGCGGGCAGATCCTGGAAGCTTGTACTTTATGGGACCTTTATTTAATGTTTTCATACTGGCTCTGCTTTCGACTTTCTCTAGATTTGTAAGGATCTGAGCTTTTACAACTGCTCCCCCTTCTCTCCAGCTCTTGCTTGTAGAAATTGTGGGGCTGGTGTATGTGTCTTCTGTGGCCAGCTTGGCACCTTTTCTGTTTCTGTTTTTGCCATTCATCCTTGTCTCCAATTAGGGCTAGACGCAGGAAGGTGACTTAGGAGGCTACTGCCATCATCTAGTGGAGGAATGAATGATGGTGGCTTGAACCAAAACAGTGGCAATGGGCATGGAGAGGAATCAACAGCTTCAGGAATTGTTAAGGAGACAGATTGGATGCTACTTGATCATTGATGAGCTGTGCTCTCTGCCAGAAGTTATCTAAAATGCAAATTCAACAAGGCAGGGAGTGTTCAAATATAGACCTATATCTTCTCCATCCTAACATTGACCAGGCTTGTCAAGGTGTTAAAAACTTGTGGCGTTATAGTAACATGTCACTAGCTAATCTCACAGGCTCTAGAGTCAGACCACTTGGTTGGAGTCCTATTACTGCTGCCTACTAGTTATGTAACCTCTATGCTCCGCGATTCACTATCTGTCAAATGGGAATGGTATAGTACCACCTATATTTGGGTGGTGGTGAGAATTGCATAAATGAATGCATATAATTAGAATGCATATAATCTAATTAGAACAGCCACTTCCACAATATTATCTCTCCATTGGTTTATTATTGTTATTATTATTATTTTTTATTTGATTGAGATAGAAGTTTCTTGGCCTTAAAGGAATTTTATAGCTTTACAGCTCTCATAGTTCCTTTGCTTTGCAGAAAGCATATGCTTGCTAGTGTTTAGATTTAGAGAATGGTTTTTCTGGAAAAGAGTTGCTTCTAGATGTTTGGGATCTTGGGTTGGTAAAAATTCTCAACCACCCTTTAGTTCTGCTGGGAATTGGTACCCACTATAAACCTCTCTGAAACTGTCATTTCGAGGAACTGGCTATTCAGATGTGTGGTGTGGTGGTGAGGCTGGGATGATGAGTCACTGAAGTGAAGCCCAGTAACAGAGTAGAGTTTCTGCTGCCCACAGCCGCGGGGGAGATGGACTGGCCCACGAGACCGTGGCTCAGTACCACAGTGGCTAAGTCCAGGGAGAAGGCCATTTACTTCGGTGCTGAGTGGAAGTGTTTCATGAGTCTTTTTTCTCCAAAATGCATAGTTCAACCAACGAATAAAACTAAACATTATAAACAAGCAAAATAGCACACAAATGTAAACCCATCGTGAATACTTCCAATGTATAGTGTTAATCTGGGAAACAGGAAGTATCTGAAGATATAATCCTGTTACAACAGGAGAGCAATGTCTTACATGCAGTAAGTCCTTAATAAACATTGCTGATTGATTAGATTGTAGTGATTCTTAAAAAGTACACTCCATGAGCAAACATGTACTTGCTCTGAAAAGCTATGTAATAAGGATTTACCAGGAAAAAAGAATTTAGGATGCTACTTATATTTGCTTTATATATTTATTCTTCATACTCTTAAAAAAGCTTTTTATTGTAAAATAAACACAGACAAAGAAAGCCACACAAAATAACTATAGTTTATTGTTATATTATTGTTGTTGTTATTGTCATTTTTATATGATAAATACCCCAGGTTAAGAAACAGAACATAGCCAGCCACCCTAGAAATCTATTCATGTGTCTCAATCTCATCTCCCCCTTTTCTCGGAAAATAACCAGACTCTGACTTGTATAGTCATCACTTTCAATGTGTATTTTTAATAGTTTATCACCCACCCCTGATTGGGTGTCTCCTTTGGATAATATAGCTTAGCCTTTTAAAAAGTCCTTTGAGTCTCTTTCAGTATAAAGATTTCTCATCCTTCCTTTTCTTTTCCTTATAATTTATCTGTTGGAAAATCCAAGGCATTTGATCTGTAGAGTTTCCCAGATGTTGCTGATCGTGTCCTATAGGACAGCTCAATATGTTCCTCTGTTTTCTATGTTTTTGTGTTGGGCAACTGGATGCATAGGCTTGATCAGACTCAGTTCTGTCCCTCTGGCAGATAGACTGTGGTGTGATCTTTCCTCAGAAGCACACAATGTCTGCTTGTTTCTCTTTTGGTGACGTTAGCAGCCTTTCACGCTTATTACCTTAATCCATTCATTCTTTAGAGGTTGCCTAAGGGTGGCATTCTAATTCTATAATTTCTTTTTCATTTGTTACTTGGGATATTTTACAATGATATGATTTCTATCATCTACTCTTTGGGTACCATGGATACCCAGTTTATATAGAAATGACAAAAATACATGCTTGGTTATTTTCCTTTATTTATCAATTCTCAAGATTATTCGTTCTTTGTTTTCTTCCAAATATAATCAATTTGATTTTTGAAATTATTATAAATTAATGTATTGAAATATATTTGATGGGTTTTAATTGAAATTATATATTTTTATCTTCATCTGAGGATATGTTTATTGATTTTAGAGAAAGGGAGGGAGAGAGAGAGAGAGAGAGAGAGAGAAACAACACTCGGTTGCCTCCCATATGCATTCCAACTAGGGATCAAACTCGAAACCTATGTATGTGCCCTGTCTGGGAATCGAACCCAAGACATTTTAGGAGTATGAGACTATACTCCAACCAACTGAGCCACTGGGCCAGGGCAGCAATTATCTTTTCTGAAGCTCGAATTTTCTCATCTTTAGCTGGTGGGAGCTTCTTCAGGTTGTCTTCTAAGGGCCTTTGACATGATCTTAATAGGTTTTGATATAAAAAAATGTTCCAGGCTCATCTTACACATAAAACCAGCCATGTATCAAAAACACCTCTTTCTTTTTTAATTGAAAAGTGTATTAAGACCATGATCAAAAATCTAGGTTCCTTGAGATGGTCATTGTTATTGGGTCATTTCCATTGTCTGAAGGGATGCTATTCTGCCCCTTTGTTTCTTTTAATCTTATAACTTTGTGTAGGATTTGACCTCCACACCTTTCATTTCCTCACTTCCATGAGAAATTATTTTTTCCTGAACTTTTAGAAGAAGGTGTTCAGTATAACTTTTCTCAATGCACAGAGATCCCTCTGCCATTGTTTACCTGTAGTGAGATTTACTGGCATTGTCCTCCACTCCTATTTTTATTGGGAACTACTCTTCCCCTTTTTTTCTCTGATGTCTCTATCCTGCTCAGCTTTTTTTTTTTTTCTCCCGCCCCCCCTCCCCTCAGCTTTTATTCCATGTCTAGAAATTTCAAATCTCTATGCATCAGCCTTGACCTGAAAGGGAGCCCTGGTTGACCAGTTTTTAGAGTTCAAATATGTCAGACCTACTATGATCCCTGGTACTCACCCACTGTGGGACTGAGCCAAACCTTTTTTAGTTTTAACTGCTATTCTCAGATTTTCTGTGCCTTTCCTGTGCTTTCTCCCATAGAAGCTGCTGCCATGCATGCCTGGTGTCCAAGAGTGGTTTGTCTCCACTTATTTGTATTTGGGGGTTTTTGGAGATAGCTTGACACAATTTTACTTAAAATGCTGTTCATGGGTCTTTGGATTTGCTATCTAGTTGCTTTGTCTGTTTCTATGTGGAGATTCAGCAAGAGTGTAAAACCATGCCACTTCTGTCTCCCATTTTTAAAAAACTTTTTGTTTTCAACCAAAGGAATTAATAGATTTAAGAATAGCCACGAAGTTTTTTTTTTTTTTTTTAGTACATTGAACAAGTGCTTTGCTTTACAAAGATTCTAGTTCCATACAACCAGTGGGAAAGTTATCTGCTATGTAAAGCTGCATACAGCTAAGTTGTTAGATAGGTTCGTGCTGAGCAAACAAAACAAAGCTGAAGCTATTGGGAGTTTGACCTTGGGAAAATAACCTCACTCCTTAGGGCTTCCTTGTTCTCATTTGTAAAATGCAAGGGCTGGGCTAGCTATTATTTTAAGATACGGCTTTAACTCTTCTCCTTACTAGCACCATATTAGACAATTATTAAAACCCCTGAGTGGTGGTTTGTACTGAGAGTGGAAATTAAATTAAGCAGAGAAGTTCCAGAACAAGCCATCTCTTGAAATGGCCAAGTAAATTAACCCATTAAAATGAGCGGTGAGGTGGTTATTGAGCTGTGATCAAGTTATAGATTGGTAGTCATATTTGTTTTTAAAGAACAACACTATCAGAATTATCTTCAGCTCTCCTTTGCTCACTGACAAACTTCAGGTAAACAGTTCTCCAAGATACCTGGACCTCTGTGAGTTAGACAGCACCTGTGATGCCTGGGAAGCAAAGCTAGCAGTTATGTGGTTACTGAATGGAGGGCCTTCATGTGCATCATTCAGTACAAGTATCCCATCATCCCTAGAGGATAGAGGAGTAGGTCTCACTGGCTGCTCAATAGAAGGACCTGATGGCTTTTAAACTTACTGATGTTGTGGCACTTACCCAGACCAGTTGAATCAAAATCTATGGGGGAGGCTCTGGCATGGATATTTAAAAAGTTTCCCAGATGACTCTAGGAAGGTTGAGAACTACTGGATGAATATTGCTATCCATGCTTTACAGATGATGGATTGAGCCAATTGCCTAAAATCTAAAGTTACATAGTTCTCAACTAAGTAGCAGAGCCAGGAGGTAGACAAAGGTCTATGTGATGCCAAAGCTCATGAACATCCTTATCTGCTAAGCAGTGCCACTATGTCAGGATGGAAGTTCTGTGAGGGCAAAACCATGTCCAACTTCCTACTGCACTTCCAGTGTTCAACCCAGGGCCGGCTGGGCACACGAAGGGAATTTAATAAGTATTGTTGAATGAGTAAATAAGAAGTTCCACAATGACTTTTCCTTGACTACATCCACAGGACCGCATAGGAACACACAGGGTGTTTGTTACTTGACACTTTGCTCCCATCAAAAGTCATCTGCTCCATTGTCTAAACATTAGTGTCCCCTGAGTGGCTCAATAAGCTCTGCAGCTCCACCTGCTGATGCTTCAAACACAGTTGGGATTTTCAATTTTCTGTTGCAACGGACATGGGAGAATCTATTAGGAGCCCTATGAAATCTGTCATTTGAAAAGATCTTTGATTCTCCTTCATGAAATGAGGGCTAGGAATGCTGGCAACTCTCAGCCTTGTATTTTCTGCACTCCAGCACTGACATGGAAGTTTTCATAGGCTGTCCCTGTTACTGTGAAGACAGAGGAAGGAAAAGGAAGCATAGCTAAGGTGTTCCATGCTCTGATTCCATAAAAACTATATAATATACATCAGAAAAGTGCACATATTTTGTCACTTCCTTTTGCAAATTAAATATATAGAGTTGAGTTCCACGAGGTAATACTTGATAAGGTGAGGGATTGATTGTCACCACGTTAAGAACAACCTGGGAAGGCTGGGGTAGAGGGTGTGTTGCATGTGAATGCATTGCTGTAGGGAGCCTTCAATGTCTCAATTGCCACTGTCCCACGAATGGCCCTCTCTCAGCTGCTTGCACAGGAGAGTAGCCTGAGAAACCGTATGACTCAGAGGTTGAATTCAGCTCAGTCTACATAGCTCTTTCATATTTTGTCCAACCATCACAGGAGTTGCTAGCTTGAGCCTCATCTCAGCCAGCTGGTCAGCATTCCACTCAATGGTTCACGTATTTAGAAGGTATCTGCCAGCTTTCCCTTGCTTCATCCTTAGTGAGTTCACCACCAAAAATTGGGGTCAAGCAATGGCTTACAGTATGACTGAAAACTTTCCATTTTTAACCCAGTTCTTTTATCATTCACTGCTGTGTGGACCCAACTCAGTGAAAATTATTTAAAATATTTTCAACTCCAAGAAGATCTTCATGGTCTTCTCATCCTCCTAACCCCTTCATGAGAGGGCATATTCCAATTCTCTGAATACTAAAGGGGAGTTCAAGGTTTGCAGATAAAATGTTATTTAAAATAAAAATATTTTAGAGTGTAAATAATTTTAGAATTAGCTAAACCTGAGTTAAATCTCCACTACTTCATTTTATTTATTTATTTATTTATTTATTTATTTAATCTATTGTGGTGACATTGGTTAATAAAATTATGTTGGTTTCAGGTATACAATTCTACAGTTTTTATTCTGTATATTGTATTGTGTGTTTACCTCCCCGTCAAGTCTCCTTCCATCACCATTTATCCTCCCTTTATCCTCTTCTACCTTCCTCCACATCCCCTCCTCTCTGGCAATCGCCATGCTGTTGTCTGCAACTCAATACATGGGGGACACAGCACATGCTATTTAGGCTGTGTGATTATAGACCTAGAACATCTGCATTTGTAACTCCATGGGATCACCGTTTATATTACTAGAACTTGGCAGAGGCTTAGCTGTCAATGAAATTGAATGCATTGGACAGGCCATCAGCTAGAGGTTGGGAAAATAAGGGATTTTTATTAGCTATATTTTAAAAAAAATGGAATTTTACTTTTAGAATGCTTTTTAATATTGTTGCTCCCACTTCATTTATGCTAGCTTCGCTCTGTCTTTGTTGTAAGAATTTAAATAAAATCCTGTGTGAGTGTTCCAGTACTTGGTGGTTCACTGAGTGACCTGGAAAAAGGCCTGCCTCAGTCTGGCTTTGTCATTTTCTCCTCTGGCTCTATTTCATGGAGATGCTCTGAGGGACTGGTGAGTGAGACAAGAAGTGGAGGGGCCGTGACTCAAACATGCTGGAGTGTGGAGATTTATTGTCTTTACTTTAATATAATAAACCCCCTCAGGGTCTGAGTTAGCATCATCATTTTTCCTTAGTCTGCTCTGTGAAGGCTGCCAAATCTACGTGGAGAGATTGATGCCTCCTTTACTCTGAATAATAGGGACAAAGGCATTCATCAGGGATTCTTCAGAATTTGCTGGCCCTAGAATTTCTCCCCAAGGTTTGGAACTCAAGTGCCCTAGAGCATTTAGGAGAGAATATAAGAGAATGTGGTTCTGAAGAGAGAAAGCCCGTAAGTGCTTTGTAATGCTCTCTGTGCTGGGACAGGCTATTCACATTACTTTATGTGTTTTGAAGTCCTTCCTTGCTAAGCAGAGAGAGGTTGTCATAACTCTGTTGTGTGTGTTGGGGGTGGGGGAGAGGGTCAGGGAGGGCTGTAGGAGTAGGGAAGTTGACCAGAAAGATCGACTATTGCAATACGAGTAGCTCATGTTCCAGACCATGCATTTCATGACTGTTGTTGGGACTGAGACTATGGTAATCTGATCTGTTTTTAGCTAGATATTTCCAAAGAACTAGAAGTGTATTACTACTTTCTAGAACCCAAGGACACACATATCTCACCTTTTTCCCTTCTCTCCCTCTTTTTTCAGTTCCTCTCCCCCCCTGCCCCCCAATTGATAGGTCACTATGCTAGACATGCAGGTGTACCTCCCAGGTTCTCCTCGAGGGAGAATTTGTTATCCCAACATGGGGGTGGGGGTGGGATGTTGTCAGCAGGAGCCTCCAGAGACTGCCTGAGCTGTAGAGAGATGCCTCACGTGCTATCACACCATCCCCAGCTGTCTAAGCAAGAAGGGGATGGGGATGTAGAAGTCCAGCCATTTCAGCCTGACACAGACAACTCTGATGGGCAATGCTCATTTTGGAGCTCCCTGCTGGCCTAGGCTCCATTGGACCTGCCTTGAAGTTCAAGTTCTTCCACT